ACAGTATTCTCTTTTTACTATATGTATACGAACGTGACCGCGCTGTTAACTGCTATCATTTTCTTTTCTGGAACTATTATCATGTAATATGTATATATCTATAATTTATATAGAGTGATTTAAGGACATTTCAAGGACAATCTGGTGTCCTTGAAATGTCGGTGTAACGCATCATAAGGCTAACGTAAGACTTGACAATCTCATGATGCGTTGCGCGTCCTTGCCTACTGTACTGGACTCGTGCGTATGAGTAGCGAACTATTTTCAATTACAACTCAAAAACTAAGCTTTGGACAAAATTTTGCTTAAAAAAAAAATTATCTTAGAAATCGTCCAAGAATATAAAATTTCAAGGACATCAGGTTGTTTTAAATTACTCTGTATATTATGATATATAAAATATGTGGAAACTTGTAATACTAATTTATTCGATAATATTTACATTTTGAACTATGCAAAAACACGAGCGCAATTTCTATTACACATTAATGAATTAATAATTAACAACATAAACGTGAAAACAGGATTGTGTTAAAATTAGATTTTTATTTACGTTGTTATTTTGATCAAATAAGCATAAAAAAATTTTTTGCAAAAGTAATATAAAAATTTAATATTTTTAAATATTAATGATTTTATCATGGAAGAGATAAGTTCTCTTTTCCGAAAATCAATCTGCTTGCAGATGCGAAAAATTGAAAACGGTTTTACATCGCCGCTTTATTGGCAACATATTTCCTTCAATCGTTTCGTCGTCGAACAACCGTATATTTTAATCAATTATTATATAGCAATATTACGACAAAAATATAATAAGCAAATTAATCCATGTAATTGAATCTTTATAAATGTTATAGAGAGATATAATTAAACGTTATTGATACATGTAAAAATATCGAAGTTTCCTTTTGACATTAGGATGTGTTTGACGAATAAACGACATTGCTAGCCACGATTGATTTATTACTAAATATAACGCGGATATGTTCGACGCAAAAATTTGGGTCGTCTGGTCGATTAAGAATGGGTGGTAAATTCAAAGACAACAGGAGGACATTCTTCTGCTGACGCCTGCTTTTGGGAGAAAAGAAGATTCCACGAGAAAATAAAAAATACGCGAGTGTAGGGCAATAAATTCTGTGTTTTAGCACAAAATTGTCCAGTTCTCGTGGGAAGTAGATTCGGTAGATGCGGTACAGATGGGGGCGGAGTCAGAGTTTTCTCTGTTTTTCTCAAAGCGTTCCAGTTTCTGTGTAATATTTATAGCGATATAAAACAGAGTAGCATACAAGTTTCGGGACCAAATCGAGCACGAACTCGATTCTCGAACTGCTTCTTATCCAGCTGTAACTTTTGCTCGCGACCCGACTATTCCTCTATCGAATAACTCTCTATTCGTCTTTCTGTTTCATATCTCTCTTATTTCCTGCAATGTTCCACTGTGTTCCTTCTTTCATATGTCTCTCCGATGATTCTTATAAATCATCGGAATAAAGCACCACGGTATTTGAACTTCTACACCACACTTGAGCAATTTAAAAGTTGATAAAAGTTTATCCGTAAATTCGCCTTTTTATTGAAAATCGGCTTTGGTGTAGTTCTTTTTATCACCGACGAAGATTCATCCACCACAATGATCATTTCTGATCAAGGAATATCGAACAGAGTGTATCAATTTTAGAATGAGTTTACTGATTGTACAATCTTCATAATTCAAATTATATTGCAAAAATTGCTAAAATGTTTGCGTATACATGTTATATTTACTAATTTAAACGCTTGTTTACACACAAAGTTTCTTATTTTTCTATAAAGTTTATTTCTTTTTGATAATATTCTTTGTAAACAGTATTTATCCATTTGTAAAGAAAACTCATTTTGATACGGAATAGTAAACTTACGTCGAAGAAAAATGAGAAAATTATGCGTATTTCTTTATGAGCGTGTGATTTATCCGAGTAATTCAGATAAGAATATATGTCGTGTTACATCCCGCGGGAACAGGTGCTGAGAATAATTTCACCCCTGGCCGATTTTCTCGTTTCGGCAACCACTCGTTCTTTATATTCACGGCAAAAATACAGAAGGAGGCGTGCCAAATAGACGCTGAACAAGGGAAACTTTGGGGCAATTTTTTTGTGACGCCAAAATTTATATTCGTTTCCTCCGCGCTGTTGCGAAATTGTATTTGTATCGAGAACGAATAATAAATTCTTCTAAAATGTTGGCTATAAAGAAAATATTAAAAATAAAATTTTAAATAAAGATATGCGGCGTCTCTGATATCTGGGCGGTGAATTTAAAAATTGCGCGATTAATCGACATTCGTCCCCGTCGGGTTCTCGAATAGCGTACCGTCATTTTTCACATCTTACAAAGCGACGCATCAATAGAAATCGTCACATTTACCACCCGTATCTCTCCCTTGTGTGTTCGTACTTTCAAGCAATCTCGTGTGTAGCGTGAAAAAAAACATCAGCCCGATAGGAATATCAGCCATCGATGCTTGTAAAATATAGTCGGCAATTGAGACCCGCCGAACTTGTCAAAGACCCCTCACGAAGGGAACATATACTGTCGTATAACCATTTATTTTTCACTTACGTCGTCCTTACGCACTTCGCACGTACGTGCAATCATTCTTGTTACGGACAGATTTAAATTTTACCCCATTTTAACATATTCAAACATCTAGATATACATTTCAATGATCAAAATTGTTTTGCTAAAAATATTTTGCTTATTCATTTTTAGAGCTGAATTTTAAGCTGAAGATAAAAAAGATAACTACTAAAAAGCTACACACTCAATAATTGTTTTTCTCTCTTTTTGTTGCAGCATGATGTCTGTCTGGATAAAGTTTATCAATATAAGGCAACGTGATCATCCTCGATGGACTTAATCGTAAAGTTTAAAACGTAAGTAATATTTTACAAATATTATAATATATTCAAATAATATAATATATTCAATAATAATTAATAAGAATCAGCTTCCAGCGTAAAAAAATCAGTCTTTTAAATTAGATTTTAATAAAATTTTGTGACAATCTGTGTAAATTAACCTAATTTCTCGATATGACAAATGAAGATCCACATAATTTTATATCTTGGTTTCGTTATTTGAATTTATTTTTCCATAACGATATCTGCTAGCGACATTTGCTATCAACTCACTTGGCAGCTTGCTAAAGCAAACGAAAATGTGATTTTAATACTCAACTACGACAACTAGTAAATTACGTATCGCGATCGGTTGATGTGCTTCCTCCGCTCCTGACTAATCTAATCTACATGTTTGCTCGACATGTTCTTACGCATATGTACCTGTTGTCGTATTTTTATCATTTTCATCGGAATAAAACCACACGACAATCTTTGAAAGTGACAGCACTTTTATCAGTCTATATATGTTTCTTGTTACTCGCGTTGACTGCTTTGTATTTTTCGTCTATCCTGATTTTCCATAGAAACTTGTAGAAGAAAGTCTTTGCAGTCACCACGACCCTTCGAAAGTAGAAATAGCGAAACATCAATAGCGACAGCAAGTTTTTTATTCCTTCACTGACATTTTTCCCGGTCGCGACGAGACCAGTCGCGTAATAGCGTCTAAAAAACCGACGAAAAGTTTTGAACGAGATTTTTGCCTTTTCCCCAACATTTTATTTGCTAATTTTCACACAAATTTCATCCGGAAAAAAAAAATTCAACGACTTTAATCAACTGTAACACCGCAACTAGGACAATGAGATGACGCGACGATGAAACTATAATAGATCTTTTGAAAGATTAATGAAGATTCTAATGAAAGATAAATGCGAAGCATGTAAAGAGGCGTTGATGTCTCGCAACAAACTGAATTCGATTATTATCGCTTTCTTTCTCATTCTTTTCGCGCCACAAAAAACGAGACTGCTTTTTGCCCTGCTATGAATTTTTCAAATGGGAATATAAAGCACGAGGAAGTCACGGAATAAAATTTATATTGCTACGCGAGTAGCGATGTTAGACATAAACTACAAGTTTACGCGCTAGGCTCAGTAGTGCTCGCGACTGTTTGTTGGTAGAACAAAAGTTGCATGTCAATATAAATATTGTTATGCGGAGAAAAATTTTCTCCTAGTTGTGCATTTAAATAATTAGAATATAAAATAATGAAGAACCCATTTGTAATGAGAAATAATATTTCGAGACAAAAAATTGTTAAGTAAAAAAAATAATTATAACGTACAAGTCCAAATTTAAAAGTTCTATTTTAACTAGAAGGAATATATAATGAAAATGAAACTTAAATCGAGTTATGTAAATTATTAAAACAATTGAACATACAATGCTCATTTACAGAATATGATGCGCTTAAGAATCATTATATATTGTATTGTGTCAGTAGACTTTATATATTATATAAATAAAATTAAATAAGTAAAAATGTGATAAATCTTGTAAAATATTAGTAAAAGAGATAGATATGTTGGTATATCTTGTTTCAGGGTTTATTATTTAGCGAAGAAGAAAAATATTTTTAATTATCTCTTATTATCTTTACAAAGTATACAACGTTCTTATTAAAAAATTAACAAATAAAGAATAATTTGCTTGAAAATTATACTATATTTATGAATTATAATATGCTCTTTTTATTTTTCCAGAATATGATCCTTTCTTAATATTATGATGCAAAATAAGTATATTTTTCTTCAGTTTGCTAATGATTTTCTAACTGACAAAGAGTTAACTTGATGCTTGCTATCTTTTCGCATCCTGGCTTCTCTTCTAATTATCGCGTGGCGAACAAATTCGAATTACCCTAAACAACTACGAATACTAATTCGAAGTTGGAACGCGTACCTGAAGATAGTTGAAAAGTTTAATTGCGTTTGTCACAGTAAGAAAATGGGATGTTTGCGTAGGGACAAACAGGACAGGCCTCGATTACTAGTACTGTCTACATTGTTAACGCATTGTATTTCTGTTCGTTACTATTCTCTACTTTGTACTTACATTAGTTTCACCTCGAAACACGAATTGGCCTCGATTTTACGCAGAGTAGTTGGGATAATAAACGAAATTCCCTTCTCTGTAAAAACAAATTTGTTTAATAAATTAGTAAAATACAAAAATCATTACTTTTGTCTTATTGTTCGCATACCTATGCATTGTATGTAAATTAAGCACAGGTTTACGCTCGTTTGTTCTTTAATTTTATCTTATCAATCGTAAATTGACATCAGTCAAAAAAATTGTAGCTTGAGTAATATTGCACATTTTTCAATCAAAAACAAAATTACAACGCATAAAACCATTCCGTTACCGGAATAAAAGCAAACGACACAATTTATTACGTAATATAGTCGACTTTCCAAACACATACTTGCCATCAATTTTAATTATTTTTCCAACGATGTAACAGAAAAATCCAGTTATCTACATATATGTATGTAGAGGACACTTCAAATATGCAAAATAATTGTTTCGTTCAAAAATAAATGCTTTTATGTATTTTGTATCGATATTTCCTTAACGAAAGTTCGATAAAAAAAACGCAAGATAGTAAAGATTCTGAGATTAATCAATTACGTCAACTGACATAAACAATTAAATGAGTTTTGCTAATAAGACATCAATCTTAATTGATTTTCGAACAAACTTTATGCGAGCAAATATTCACGATCGAGTTTAACTGTCAAAATCGTATAAATCATCTATTGTCCCCTTGAAATCCCCTTTGAAGAGAAATCGATTTCAAATTCATCAAAAAATTTATGGCTGAAAGAACACGGTAAATCTGGGTCATTCCGTATGTGCCGCTTGAACGTGTAGAAAACGCACTCATAGCTTTCAATGCTAGCTTTAAATGCTATTAAATCCAGTAAAGGCAATCTTAATTGCAGTGACGTTAAATATTCCACGTGTAAAATTGATGATTCACATGATCTTTATTAATGAAAGCACTACGGTCTTGCATTTTCTCAACTCCGTCTTCCTTGATATACAACTCTGTTGTTTTGTACAAGTATTAATAGCACGCGCAATTCACGTCATTTGCTACATCAACAAAAACAACACATTTAATCAGTTGTGATTAATACAAATGTTCAGATTACATTTACGATCCAATAGAAGTCTGATCTGTCAAGATGAAAAAGTGTGCTAAGCTAGATAGGCGCTTCGACATGGTAGTAGCTGAAACGCCGGTCATTCTTCTTTCATTTTTATACATGATGCAAACGCGTTTATTGTGCTGGGCTGATTGTTGCGAACAAAAAAAAAAAAAAAAAATACAATGAGAAAAATACACAGATCGAATTTGCTAAATTCAATCAAGTGAATATCGTGCTGTAACCCAATTGACAGGCGCAGAATTCATTTAATAGATACATCATAACGTTGAAATTAGCAGCACATGACATATCGCGTGTGCTTCCCTGGTGAATTCAAATGCTGGCAAATACCCGAGCATTATTCTGATCAAATAATCATAGGTGAAATGTGAAACTGACATGATGAAAATACACACGGGTTTTATATGCCGCCAGTCGCAATGTCTGAGAACATAAAGAAAATTTTTTTATTTACCGCGAAGACGTAAACGTGTTCGTTAAAGCCGAAGTAGCTCGGCGCGGCTCGGCTGTTTATTGAAGTTTTGATTACGCATTTAAGAAGTGCGAAAAACATTTTATTGCAGCCTTCGGAATTTTCATTATCTTACATTTGTACATCGTTGTTTTCCCAGAATTCTGAATATCCCCATTTGTTGTCCGGCGCATGACAAATATGTATATTAAAATTTTACGACGACACTTTAAATGGCATTATAAGCCAGAGTCAGATATGCTGGGCCAACGCTCGCGTGGGTGCACACACATGACATCGATCTGAAGACTTCCTGACCTGGGCGTGGTCCTACGAAACGGGAATAAAGGACTGCAATCGTTTATCTACTAGCGTTTAATGTGAACGTCACAGAGCCATCATTTTTAAGCGCTTTTAGTAAATCATTTTTTACGAGTGAATTCTTTATGATCCATATAGCTCGTGATTAACAATACTTGCAAATTATTCCCTGAGCTAAAAATCACTGAGCATTACGGCATTTTGTAATTGCAATTACGAATGTAGCACACAATTATAATGTTGTGTTTAAATATAAATATCAGAAAGCACTCAGAAATATTCAAAATATGAAAACAAATTCTAAAAGAGATAATTAGCATACTAAATTAAATTCAAGTTACACCTATGCGGAATTTATAATATCTAAAAAATTTTAACGAAGAAGATGATATGATTATGTTAACTTATACAAAAAATTATTACGATATTGATATAACAGTAAATTCATAAATTAATTTTCACAAGAATGTAGCAGAGCTTCTTTATTTGTCGTCTTTTTGCCTGCAAAATAAACAGAAAACACGACAGGCGCCGCAATAGACGTCACGATAGATCGCATTGCAATTAAATATCAAACAAGCCGGACAGATTACTTCCGGAAAGCGTCAAATATCGAACGAGAACGTGAGGATAATAATCACGTCGAACAATATGCAGGAGAAATTGGCGACAATGGAGATTGCTTTGAATGCCATGAATATTTTTTATCTAATTACCCGATGGCTACAGAAAATGTAAATTCTCAACTCAAACATACATACGGGATGTACGTGTATATTTTCTATGTACTTATACATTAAAGAGCCAGCGTGGAAACACAAACTGGCTGACTTTATCCAACACGACAGATCAGAATGCAAAAGTTCGTATATGTTTCAGTTTTCCAAACGAACGGGATATCCGACTTGTATTTTCCATAGGAAACAAAAGCCTGTTATATTTACCGCATGTTTAATGCACGACCGAGAATTATTCACTTATTTTCCCAACAAACGGCTTTCGCCGCTGAGGAAATTAAACTTTTCCTTCTATAACTAATTTTCCGCCAGGTTTGCGCCAGGAATATTTTCGACGCCCAGTTATGGCCAGAGATATTAGTTCACTCTCTCTCCTTCTCTCTTTCGCTTTCTCCCTCACCGATACGTTAATTATGCCGCATAATACCTGTTAGCTTGCCACGAAACTTTGCCGTGTGTTTTACAGCGCGTGCGGAGTTATAATTATAACAAAATATCGTCCATTAAAAACATTTTCTGTTACCTTTATATTGTAGGAAAAGTAAATTTATTTGACTACACGTGTAAGTGTGGAAGTTGACATGTAATCTCGGCAAATTAAATGAATAATTTATGATATTACTGTAGGATTCAGACAAAAGTTGGAAACTATTCTGTCAAAAAAAAAATCATTATTTTCGATCAATTTTATTCTAACAAACTAATAAATGGTTGATCCTTGAATAATAAATTAGAAACTAAAACATAACTAGATCACAACTTCGTCCATCGGTTCGGTTACAATAAGTGTTGGGATATCTGTTTGTATAAAGCTGTATCCATAAGCAACATTCTGATTTTTCCGAAGTGTACGTAGTGAATAATGAGCTTTAATAATAGTCGTTTATATACGGGGCTAAATAAATTTTTCCCAGATTATCTAAACCGTCAAAACAAGCGAGAATAATTTTGCAATAAAACATATCCATAATTCATTTATGCTATACCTTGGTTCTTTATGATAAGTTTTATCATAAATAAGGAAAGAAGACTTGAACTCTGTAGATTCACAAAAAAGTACAAAAATCTAATTATATTTAGTAATTCAACAATTTTTGTCTCATCAATTTTAGTTGTTTCCAATTTCATAAAGTATGCTCCTTTAATTTTATAATAAAATAAACAGAGTAGAATTACTATTGTATGGTAAAATTAATTAATTAAATAACAAACAACTCTCATAAGGTACTCAAATAATTGTCAACTATTGTTAAATTAAGTGTTTGAACGATAACATAACGACAAGCGCATTCCTATTATTAATCATAATTATTAATAAATAAATACTTTAAAAATATTGTGTTAAATTTAAATTTTCTATAACTAAAATATCAAAACTTATGAAACAAGCTTTTATATATTCATGAATTTTTAATCTTAATTATAAATGTCGGAAAATGAAAAATAAAAAAACTTACAAAATTGTAATAAATAACAAAAATCAAGTTGTTATTAAAGAAAATTAGTTACTTTTTTTTCAAAAAACTCTTCACTAATGGTAATGCACAATTAAAATTTTAATTTAAGCAATATTGCCGTTGATATCACACGTTCAAAAGTAATATAATATAAAACAATTTATTGAATCATCCTGTTTAATAAATAAATCCTTGATTAAATGTTACCTTATTTATTACTTTTATTATATTACGAAAGTAGAATATTTCTGCTATAAACTGTTCGCAAATCTATTAAAAATAAATATTTCATCAACTGTTACTAAAGCTAGTGTAAACGTCTCATCATATTGCAGTAAAATTGTAAAAATTTTATTTAAAAATAATCGCAACGAAAGGAAGTGAAATGCGGGCAATGTTACTCTCCGTTGTGACCCCATTGCATGTATATTTCTCTGAATGTACCAGATATCGGACGAACGAGTGGATGGCTTAATGGAGTTTGACCGTTGATAACAACGATGGGGGGTCCCGAATAATAACGTTGATAACGCTAACGTTCATCGCCGAAAAGAGCTATGCATACGTATGTGCACATAATGTACCATTGTACATATCGCGTTCAAATGTCGCACTTGTTCCGTTTGCGTTCAACATACGTTTTATGTATACTAGACTGATACATATAGTTATCTGTACATATCGACACACGTGGATATACATCAAATGCTTTTATAGGGTGCTATAAATGTGCGCACAAATAAACGGCAACTTCCAAAATCAAACGACAATCTCAGTTATTTAACCACTGTTTCGATAGTTTGCCTGCCCTTCTACTCAGACATTACTTTAAATTTTATAGAGATCTTTATACCAAATTTTTGGGACACAAAGAATTTTTGTCTTTTGTGTCAATTGTTGCAAAAAAGAAAATATGATGAATTTTAAAACTATGACACTTGAGACTAAATCCCAAGAGTTTAACTTTTTCAACGCGCAATTTTTTCTGC